GTTTAGGGTTTAGGGTTTAGGGTTTACCGAAGTGCAGGAAGCAGTTCTTGGGTCCGGAGAGCCGGCCGAGGCTGGCCAGACCAGTGGTCTTGCCCTTGAGGGCCTGCTGGTCCTTCAAGTAGCAGCTTTTTGTGTCTTTTGCAAAAGTGAAAAAGCTGCAGCTGCTGCTGCTGCGGCAGCGCGAGCGGCAGGAGACAGCGGAGGAGACACTTCCGTCCTCGATGGCCTCCACGTCGTGGCCCACGTAGTCCGCCTCCTCCAGACACACGTCTGCAGCAGCAGCAGCAGCAGCAGCAACAGCGGCGGCGGCGGCAGCAGCGGCAGAGGCACGCGCGTTGGGGGGCAGACTGTGGAGCGGCCACAGTGTTGGGGCAGCAAGCTAGCTGCTGCTGCTGCTGCTGCTGCTGAACTCCAGCTACTGCCACTGCTACCACTACCACTTCTACCGCTCCTACTGCTGCTGCTGCTGCTGCTGCTGCTGCTGACCATCGTTGGGGCAGAACTTGGGGCCCGCCACGAGGCCCTGGGTGGAGTGGTCCGTGACGAGGCCCTGGGGAGCAGCAGCACGAAGTTGGCAAAGTTTGCTGCTGCTGCTCCAGTTGAAGAAGAAGCAAGAAGAATCCAACTGGCAGTTTTGCTGACAAGCTTCGAAAGTTGCCACTTGCCGCAGCTGCCGAGTCACAGCCCCCAAGTAGCTGCTGTCCAGCACGTGGCACCCTGCAGCAGCAGCAGCAGCAGCAGCAGCAGCAGCAGCAGCAGCAGCAGCAGCAGCAGCAGCAGGGGTGGGGCACGCGGTAGGTGCAGCGGGGCTGCTGGAGGCCCCCTCGCAGCAGCAGCAAAGCCCCAGCCAGCAGCAGCCCAAAACCCAGCACCAGAACCACCGCCACCAGCAGCAGCAGCAGCAGCAGCAGCAGCAGCAGCAGCAGCAGCAGCAGCAGCAGCAGTACCTGGGTTGATGGGGATGCAGTCCCTGGCTGCGGAGACCATTCCGAGAGTTGCTTTGCTGCTGACTTTGTGTCTGTCAGCTCCTTCTCCTTTCAAGTGGCAAACGTTTTTGTTTTTGTCATGAGTCCAGAAGAGACAGTTGCTGCTGCTGCTGCTGCTGCAGAGCTGCTGGCAGAAAGCAGCAGACACCACGTTGCTCTTCGTCTCCAAGTCGAAGCCCCGGTACTCCGTGCTGCTGTCGACGCATGCAGCAGCAGGAAGCTCCTCCTCCTCTGCTGCTGCTGCTGCTGCTGCTGCATCTGCGTCTGCTGCTGCGCCCGCGTCTGCTGCTGCAGCGCCGCCGCCGCCGCCGCCGCTGCTGCTGCTGCTGCTGCTGCTGCTGCTGCTGCTGCAGCTGCGGGGCCCGGAAATGACGTCGGGGTCTGCTGCTTCTCCGAAAGGAGCAGCAGCAGACTTCAAATAACACCCTTTTGTGGACTTCTTGAAGGAGAAAAAAGCACAAGCAGCAAAAGAGACACAAAGCTGCTGACAAGCAGCAGCAGAAGAGACACTCGCGTCTTCCACCCGCAGCAAATCGCAGCCCACGTAATCCACTCCTTCTCTAAAACCTGCGAATAAAAACATTTGTTTGTTTTATTTATTTTTGAAAAGAAATATTTAATTGCCTTTTTGATTCATTGAAGCAGTTCAGGGTTTAAAAAGAGGGTTTAAAAGAGGGTTTAAACGAGGGTTTAAAAGAGGGTTTAAAAGGGTTCAAAAGAGGTTTAAAAAAGGGTTCAAAAGAGGTTTAAAAAAGGGTTCAAAGGAGGTTTAAAAAGGGTTTAAAA